GAGTCTCGTCTATAGATCCGACAATATGTTATGGACAGACTTGGGGGTTTTCGGCGACGAGGGTCAAGGGAGTTCTGGTGAGGATTTGTATCTATTACCAGTCTTCCTATGTGGATTGTCGGATGAGGGAAAATCTGTACAGGCAATGTATCTACAACTATAAGATGGTTCTCGAGCTTGTGACATGTAATGTGAATATGTCACTCAAGTGAAATAGAACCAGTTCATAACACCATCTATACCACTTCACACTTATATCACTCATTTTGTTCATTGCTTCCTATCCCCATCAATTGATCGAAATGTCTTTAGTTCCTTTCACCCAATCTGAGCAGAACGGTTCCCAGAAACCTACCACTGGGCGTTCCCAATTCAATATTCAAAACGCCATTTCTCAGGCCCTTGCGACCCAAGGCCAACAGTTCCAGGCCCAACTACAATCTCGAGATTTGATGATCAACAAGTTATTACACAAGTTAGAAGGAAGCACAATGTCAAATTTCAATACTGCATCAGCCGGCGCATCCACCTAGGGCCAACGGTGGCTTGCTAAGCTAAGGATTTTTGCCACCTTGGCTTAGCTTAGCTAGAGGCCGCTAAGGAAAAATCCGCTAACGCTAATCTTAGCGGATTTCCGCTAACGCTAAGCCATTAGCTTAGCGGGCGTAAAATGACACCCGCTAAGCCAATTGATTGGCCGCTAAACCGCTAATAGCGGCTTAGCGGCCCTTTTTTGCACTTAAAACATGTAATTTTTTGATAGCTAAGCTCCCGGCTTAGCTTAGCGCAGACCCGCTAAAGGAAAAATCGAAATTCGATTAGCTTAGCTTGAGTGCGCCAAGGATTTAGCGCTAGCTTAGCGACAAAAAATCGCTAAGCTAATGCACCGCTAAGCGCTAACTTAGCTTAGCCGTGCCACCGTTGCTAGGGCTGTGACCCAATCCTGAGAGTTCAGGGCCGGCCCCGGGGCCAAATTCAGCCCTGAGTGAGCCCGATGACCTCTGAAAACTGCTCAGGGCCAATCAGGGCCGGTGAGAGACTGGTGTGAAGGCATTTTTTTAGCAAAAAAAGGGTCGGCACCCCGGCCGGGTCGGGTGCCCGAGCCGCCTGAAGCGCTCACAGGGCCATATTAAGCTGTCATCAAGCAGGATCTGGATGCCCTGGGGCGCGTACCATCAGCTCTGTGAAAGACGTTGGGCAGAGCGGCCGGGCAGGGCCGGGTCTGGGTCACAGCCCTACTTCCACCAGCACTTCTCAGAAAAAATCGGCTCCGCGCAAATATGTAACCATTGGCACAGCAACACCCACCAAAGTCCCGAACAGGGCTGTATCAGAGCCACCCCCCTCTATATCCAAGTTAAGAGCTACCTCCAAGGCTGGCACAGTGCCCCCGCTCACAAGTCCTCCAAGGAGACAACCCCATCAAGTGTTTGTTTTGGAATACCCAAAAGACTTTGACAAGACTAAGGTGATCATCCTCAATTTGTATTCCGCCTCTCGTGTAGACGTATTCATTGTTTTTTCTTCCAGGCTGCCTTTGAGATTCATATCCAAGTGCTCTGGGGAATGTTGCAGGTCAAATTGGTCCCGCCACCCGCTGGCAAGGGCAGCATGCAATTCTTTGCTGCCTCTTATGACAATCTCAAAGCGGTGAAGAGTGCGATCAACATTGCTGCAACTCCCAGCATCATTGCTAGGTCTCAAATCCAGACCCTCCGCAACGCTAGTATGGGCCAAATCCGAGTGGCCTGCAGAATGATTACTTTAGACACGCAAGCCATCCTTGCAATCCACATGGCCCTCTCCAAGGCTGGGCTATCAGTCTGGGGCCCAGACTTAACCCAAAGTCACGACTCACTCTTCAACACCACCAATTGTTACATTGCCATCCAAACGTTCCAAGAAGTTTCCTCCGGCCCGTGCTACCAATATCTACAGGTTAATGCAAAATACATGGACGACATTGGTGTTCTTACTTCGGCTTACAACCACTATGTTCATCACCTTTTGGCCACCAAGTTCAAGAGAGAAGTCAGAACTCCAGGACGTTTGGCCAAGGCTGAGAATACCAAAACAATATCTCAACGTTGTCAAAGGGTAAGTGATTTAACTATCAATTGGTTTTTCAAAATTCTGACATGTCTCCAATTCAATTCTCAGCTTGCTGAAGCACGCAAGGAATTCGCTTGCAAAAACAATTTTCCTCAACGCTACAAGCTTATCATAGAACAGCCTCACACTCATAGTGATGATGAGTTCGATCCAGAACATAAAGTCCATGTCATCAAGACCCTAGTGTACTGCTCCGCCAACGCCAACAATTTTTTTTGAAGGTTAAATTCAATGATGGATCGTGTGGCAATCATGTCTGGAAAGATAACTCAGCGCCAACCCTGTTTACTTCCAATGGTTCCTGTGGCTTCAAAATTCCTGGCTCCTCCACTTCAACTCCCAATCGATTATTACAAACCCAGCTGGTTCAACACCCTCACTCCTTCACAAAAGGAACAAATAGTCAAGCATAACCAGGTTGCTTTATTACCTGACGCTGCCAAGTCTTTCATTCCAGCTCTGAATGCTCATCCATCTGAAAAGTTGAGCGGTTGTGATTACAATAAAAAGTATTACTTACGTTTGACCCTACCGTATCAAATCAACACCCCAGCCGGTGACTCTGATTCTGAAGGTGGCGATGGACCGGTGTTCTCCAACAAACCCTTGCATCAATAAGACATGAACAACTCTATTGACTTGCAGGCCCCAAGTGAAGGAAGTAATGAAAAAGGCAAGGGTACTGCCAAGAACATCTTCTTTGCGGTTGGTGACTATGGTCAACTTTATGACAAAGACAGCAAAGACAGTGATTGGGGAAGCAACGGCTTCATAGATGAAGACAACAAAGATGAGGAAGATGCCCCTTTTGATACAATTGGGGATCAGCCAATGCAAGACTAGACTTATTTCTCGCTGCATAGTATGTGTGTGCTTTTGCCTTGCCTTGATGAGTGTTTTCCATTGTCCGTCTCTACTCAAATGTGTTAATTAAATAAAAGAAATAAAACCAAAAAAATTGTTTCATTATCCCTTTGTTCATCTCAATTGTAAAATCTGTCCAGAAAAATAAAAATAAAATAGTTCCATATACAGTTAAATGTTCCTTTCAATCGTAAAATGTTTCTACAAAAGCTACAAAATTTTTTCCTATTGAGTATGATTTGTCTTGTTTTCAATGAAGTTTCTTGAAGTAAAACTGTGAGCACACATGATACAATGAGCATTATTGCCCGGGGGAGCAGAGAGATTTTTTTTGTTTGAACATTTTTGTTGCATTTCTCGGACTACACAATAAGACAATAAGAGAAAGAAAATGTATCACAAGGAATAATTATAAGAGACAACATAAGAGAAAGAGTGTCAGGAGAGAGAAGGAACAAAGTATAGATTGGAAGTGGAACAGCAACTGCAAAGGTTAGTGTTGAATCCTTCATCATTATACCACCTTCAGGTAAACCAAAAGTATGAGCGAGCAGGAGACAATTAGCTGCAACTGCAACTATATCCCTTGCTTCCAGGATCAGAGTTGATTCTGGTTGCAACGTGCCTATCACACATCCCATTAAGTGCACGTAATACCTGAAGTATTGAGATGGACAATTCAGCCTCATATTAAAAACGTCAGTAATTGGCTCAACAAGTGCAGCCTCTTGAACACCACCCACCCCGTTCTCAAACCGATAGACCTGCTCAATCATAGCAAATTGCTTCCTCCCACCTTCCTTCTTATAGCACATGCAGTTGTTAGGTTTTTTTGGGTAAATGCCAAATGTGTGCGTCTTTTTATCAATCAATAACCTAGAAATCGGTGTTGCAAAAGGCTGGAAGATCTTTGAAGCCGAAGGGTGTGGGTAGTTGTTGTAGTGTTGCAATTTGGGATACTGAAGCTTCATTTGGGCAAAGAGTTGTATGTACACATCGTTGGAAATGTGAATGGCTGATGTGTCCAACGCAGGTTCTTCTTTTTCTAGAATAGGTACCAAGTAGTCTTTTGTGAAATTTTGAAGAGCGCATAACTTGAGCATCATGTTCCCATCAATCTGAGCTAATATGTCAACACAGGGTTAGTAAACATCTTGTGGTAGTATATTTGAATTTGTAGAACAGTCACTTACACAGCAAATGATTGGTTTTGAATTTTTGTAACAACCCATTGATACGCTTGCCAGAAAACTCTGAAACTTCCATCAACGGTCCCCAGTACTTCATCATGTCTGGTATGTGCAATGCATAGTGGTGGTTTGGAAGGCTGTTGATATTGTTGCAAAACATTGCCAAAGTTGCTCCATAAATCACATACATTTTGCGGAAATCATCAATGTTATCTTGAGAGACTTTCTTTGCAAAGAGGAATTGTGTGCATCAAACTAAGCTGGTGGTATTACGGACAATTGTATGGCGATTCGAAGTTGCAGGAAAATCTTCTACATCAAGCACTAGAAGCTCCAAGAGGACCAGCGGGATAACATACAGGAAGAGTGACTTCCCCTGACTCTCTTTCAACTTACTGTGGGAAACGTTGCCAAGGTTCTTTGGGATTGGCTTCACGCCAGATGGCAATATCACGTTTTTCAGAAGCCGTCGTATATCGATTAACTCGCATTCTGAAAAAAGACTTGAGTCTGTCCCTTCCTTGAGATCAAAATCTTTGGCCCAGTCCTCCATGACCACTTCATCATCATCTTCAGTACCATCATTGTCCATATCTTCTTTGATCCATTCAGTTTTACCCCGATATTTCTTATCCTTCCCTTTGAAGCCCCATCAATGCCGGACGTGGTGTTGGAGGACCCCCTCCAACCAGTTATGCATGATACCAATGGGTACATCATTAACTGGATGTTGATAATTCAATGAATTGAGACAAGAGTGTCGTATACCATACTCCTTCAACAGTTTGCCTTTGGCATCCAGCGTCCTTGCTCTGTTCCAGGCTTCTGCCTGTTTCAACACTTCTTCCTTAGTCCATTTGTTACCAAGGAGAAGACCCGCTCTTTCTTGCCGGGTTCAATGGCCCCACAAGCAGAACTGATTGGCTGAGTGTGATGCGTAGCCTGCACACTCGTGAACGGCAACAATATCACCGATGAGAGTGAGGAGTCTAACACAAACGAGTCTTCCTTTGGGGAATTGGATAGTAGAATTCCTCCCTCTATACCTGTTAGAGTATTACTATAGAGACCTAGACATACAATTCCTATATGATTAATTGAAGAATAAGCTACCAGTTGCTTAAAATCTGTCTGTCTTAGACACTCGTAAAATCAGGGGTGATAAAGGTATAATAATAAATTGTTTATAGCTAAGAATTCGAATTCGAATTATCTATATCTCGGATTACTTATACTTCCACACCTTCGATAATTCTAGTAAGTGCTGATTCTTATCTACTAATATTTGTAGGTCAAACATTCCCGGCCTAAAAGTATAAATATAAGTATAAATACAAGTATAAATATAAGTATAAATATAAGTATAAGTATAAATATAAGTATAAATAAAAGTATAAATATATGTATAAGTATAAATATAAATATAAATATAAATATAAATAATTTATAAATAATTACCACTCTTCCGGCAATACAGGGGTTGGCAATCAAGTTTTGAGTTGATGGTGGCAAGCTTGGACAGTTCAGAGCCATGACACCAAGGGATTCCTTCTTTCCAGTGATCTTGTTTCCACGCGGGTTGAACCAGTCGACATAGAGATTCACGACCAGATCAAGAGTGTTCAAATCACACCGCGGGAATGAATAGGTGTGAAACGCGATTGAGGAAATTTGCGGTGACAGGGTCTGCAACTTTCCCCAATCGCAAATTGCGTTCGCAATTCGTTCGCAATTTGTTCGCTAGCCATCCTCAAAACCGCATATGTACAGGATACAACCATACATATCCAGAAGCCGGCAATGTATTCGATTCATTCAGCTTGAGGAGTGTACGTGTGGATCTGCGACCGGTCTACATACGCTCCTTGATAAATGTGTCCAAAAAGGTCAAGCTCACTATTGCGCCTATTATACTACGGACCGTTATACTACAAAATGTAGCAGACAAACGTTCACATTATCACCAATGCCATTTAAGTGATGTGGCAACAGAGCAGGGTGTCAAGAGATGTGATAACAGATCGAAAAGCTGGTTATACTCAAAGAAACATCCAAGCCAAAACCACGAATTATGGTCATTTTTGCTTCAAAGATCTCATGATTGACTGTTCTGCCTTCAGATCATGCTATAGCATTACATCCAAATTGATGCCCTCAGGCTCCAAACTCATGTTGCTGTCATATTTGTTCACCCAGTTACTCAGCATCAGACAAAGTGATGGTATCACAAAGGCTTCTCAATAGATTGTTATAGATGGTCTTTTGTGACTCAAAGTAAGTTGTCTTCTAGATTCCACACAAGATGCATGACTTTTGATCAGATGGGATTGAATATGAAACAACCGCCGCCACGCAATGTAGGAAGACCCTAACGCTTTTACAAAAGCACAACCTGCAAAAGCGGCGAGCACAAGTATAACATAGAAAACAGAAAAGAACTTGTGAATCAATAGTTTGTCAACTGGCGGGATACAGTTGACCGAACTGATTGAGATCATCCTTGACCAAACCGTGTCCTCCGAAAACAAATTAAGTGCGACTTGATACATCCGCTGACACATTGTCTCAAGACAGGTAAATCAGCACTGCCCACATTTGGATATCATTCCTGTACTTGTGCGGTCTCGAGGGCGCACAGCGAACAAATTGCAAACGAATTGCGAACGCAATTCTCAATTGGGGAAAATTGCGGACCCGGTCACCGCAACTTTCCTCAATCGGGTTTCACACCTATTGATGTTATGGTATAATGGAAGTAAGTGTCAAGTCCATCACGATATCATGGTGTGCTCTTTCAAGATGTGGAAAACAAGTAGTGCTCAAGAAGTGTTAGAAGGGTGTTGGTTAAGTGTTTTGTTTGATTGTGTTGAAATTACTCAAAGGGTCAGAAGAATCGGTATCAGGACAGATTGAGAGAAAGGGGGCTTACGGTTGAAGTACTAATGATTCTTACATTCCTCTTTTGGGAACTCTAGTTGTCACGTTTCTTAGTCCTCATTCAATCCTTTCCTTTTTGGTCATGTCCCAATAGTTGTCAGAGTTTTTCATGTGTTTCGTTTCCAAACTGTTGAATTACTACTGTCGAGTTCACTTAGAGCTCATAAATCACCTGTTCTGTCCAGGTAAATATTAGCTTTCTACTTTTCTCTTTATATTTTGTTTGCTTGAAATCAATGACCGTTAGGAACGAGAAAACTCAGATTCTCTTTTCTTTCTTTTCCCTGCACTACTGCAGGTAAGGCGTGATCCTCTCCGCTCTTTCTTACTACTGTCAAGTTCACTTAGAGCTCATAAATCACCTGTTCTGTCCAGGTAAGGCGTGATCCTCTCCGCTCTTTCTTACTACTGTCGAGTTCACTTAGAGCTCATAAATCACCTGTTCTGTCCAGGTTGAATCCCTTGCTCTAAGCTGCGTAGATTAATCAATCCGCATCAAACAATTTCAATTGATTCCCGTGGTGTCAGTAGGGTTTCTATTATGAGCTAAAGTTTTCCACACGGGTGATTGTTGAAGATCAAACATGTCGCGAGTGTTGGTGTTCCTGATCTCACTTGCCCACTCATCGATACTGGCTTCAGTATCAGATTGGTTGAGAAACCAATTAAGCCACAATAAAACTGATTGAGTAACATACACACACTTCGGAATGTCAGGGTTAACAAGATTCTTTGGACAGATGCAATAAGGCTTCTTTTGATACAATCCTCTATCTTTGATTGGTCAAAAGTTGTTCCCTGCTTTGAAGAGTGTTTCACCACAAGCAGCCGATGCAATACTTGCTTTGTAGGTGCAGTACATTGGAGCATTGCGAGGGGAATACATTGTATAACACTTTTGGCAACATATTTGTTTTGTAAGTTCCAGAATGATATTGAGTTGATTCATCAAGGTCCTGATGTCCTTAGGGATTAATTTGAGACATTGGTTGCAGTTAGGAGTTGAGCGTACTCGACAATTTGGACCAAAAAGTCCCGTGCTGTTCGACAGTTTTCTTGACTAAGTTTACACTGCAAGTGAAGCCAGACCAAGAATACAGATGCTTAACCTTAAATAAACGCATCAGTGACGGCTCCAAAGGTTTAAAACATCAAATACTTACCTTCAACCACACCCTCCGGGTCACTAGCTTGACTCTTGCTGTCACTAATGTCAGGTGTGCTCTTGATATCCTCGTCGGTATCATCTACATTCTGTTCGTCTTTGTTCAGGTTGAGTTCAGTGACTGCTGCTGACAAAGAAGCTCGTGCTTCCTCAAAATCGGTGGCTTGGTGTTTTTGTCAAGTGCGGTGTGTCACATACATTCTATTTTGAGTTTGCGAATCATCATTGGTGTAAGTATTGGTAATGCAATGAGAGCACTTGCAAACAACTAATTTGGTGAGTGGCATGGGAAGCGACGTTTAAGAGGGGAGTCAAAGAAAATCTAGAAGTGTTTTGATGGCTTCAGGCTGAAAAATGGCGGACGTCAAGGCTGACTTCAATGAACCCATGGCTTTCGTCAAGCCAGGGTTTGAAATTTGGTTGGCTTCAAAACGGGGCCAACCCGCGGCTCAAGTCACGTTGGCGCGAGCCCGGCAGGCGTCAGTGTTTTTCCCGCAGTGTCAGTGCTAACTGAGACACATACTAGAGTTCTGCCTTTTACCACTAGGCTACAGACGCTTGTGTTGCCAATGTTGTCACTGTGGTGGATACATGTCTCTACAATACAGCTCCTCCAGACTGCAAGTGATTAATCATACAAGCACACTTCCAACAGCTCAACAGATGCAGTACACCTTTAAAACCTAACCCTAACCTGATTGCCCAACTCACATCCCATGCTTATTGCACCCAATTTAAACAATGTTACCGTTAAAAAGAACAGGGAAACTCTTGGGTTGGTGGAGTGTTACTTTTATTTTTCAAAATTGACCTTTCATCAATCCCACACAATCAACACATCATCACCCAATTCAACTTTTCTATCAATAAACATGATTTCTACACCTCCAAGATCTAGTATCATTGGAAACTGGTCATTCCAAACTCTTAAACCCCGCCAATGAGCATACAAGTGGCCTTATGATCTGGAATCCAGAGGAATACAACCACAACACAGATATACCTGTTGCAGAGCAACCCCATAGTTGAGGTAACTACACAGCCAATGTACTCTGATTTACTCAAGTCTGCAGATGTTGTCAAAAATCACATTAGACACAGATATCCTGAAGGAGTAAAGTGTGTGTGAGATCCTTGAGGAATTGGGTGCAGAAGACTCCAAACCACTGGTTCACTTCACACTTTGGTCATTCTTTATCAAGTTCTCTTCAATATGAAAATGAAATTGCTCCACAATTCTATCTCACCTTTCAAAAAATTCTATTAAACTCATGAAGCCATTGGTATGGATTAAGGCAAAAGCCCATACTCTATGCAAACCCATATCTTTTGGGTTTCATAAAAAGGTATGGGTCATACTGTAACTGTAGTAACCCCTAACCAGTATGAAACCAGGACATCTTGACCCAAGACTTCAATGTCTCCATAGAAAATATCACAGACTCAATGAAACAGATCTGAGCAAGCCTTTTAAGTGAACCTTCTTGAACACAGCTCAAGATCTTTGTGAAAGACATGAATGAATTCAGAATTTTCAAAATGTTGGGTATGATGAAGAAAGAATCATTTTGCAAATACACATTTGGAATCTTTGGATCATATGAGCCATAGCTGAAGATTTCAAAAACTTGGAAATGTTTAAGCATCAAACTTGAGTTATCAACTTGATGAACTTATGAGTGGTATGATGAGTCTGTGAACTTCTCTATTTCTTGATTTTGCATTTCACATCCTCAAAGTCTTGGTTTATTTTTGTCTAGACTAGAACAAGTTTTGATTCTGATGTTTTTTTTTGAGTTCTCATACTTTATGATCATCTTTGAGTCATACACTCTTGATTATTTGTAAAACTTTTTCTTCAACTTTATGATAATTTTGTATCTACATATGTACATTGAAAAAAACTAAAAACTTGTCAAGAAGACTACTTCATGAGTGGAATAGCAGGACTAGGAAATATGCACCAAAATTTGTTTTCAGTTCATGGGCTCTACACCACACATCACTTCTTGTCTCAAGTTGCCGAGCACTTCAACAGATGCACATGGGCTAGGGCCATTGAACGAGCCTGCTTCAAGGCCCTTCACTTCACCCAATTCGGCGTCAAATGGCTCGGCACATTTTTTTGGGGACGTCCGATCTTACGCCTGTTTTTGGCTGTTACATTCAAACATCTCGCGAAGTCTGGGTGCTATGAGGCTTAGAGGTAGCTTAAATGAAAGCCATCATTCTCATGCACATTTTGCACCACTGTAGGAGCTATCGAAGTGCAGTTTCGCTGCCGAAAACCTCTCCAACAAAAAGGTCGATATTCTCGGTCCCGGTACACACCTCCTCAGGCGTATTCTTGGGACTTGAGTATTTAGCCGATTGATAAGATCCGAATTCGAGATTTGCGAGACTTGATTTACAGATCTCATTCCGATTTGTTTGTTTGATGAATCATAAATACATACTTAATGAGTTCTTGGATCAAACTATGATGTAGGTTGCTGAGTTTTATCGAAAGTCAAAAGTGATGAGCTGAATGGTTTGACTGAAGAAAGTTAAAGGTTTGAATGAAGATGAATTTACTAGATGGAAGGGTACAAGTGTTCGAAGGAGGCTTTGTAAAAGGTTTCAGCGTGCTTGGGTTTTAAAGAGTCTGAGTTATGTAAGATGGTTTTCTAGTCTTGATTTACTTTATGATTTTGAGAAAGCTCGGACTGAGTTCTTTGGAAGATTCGATGAATTGTGTGATCAATCAGTGATTGCAATTTGTTTTTCATTTTCATTTTCGTTTTCGTCATAAGAATTCAAACCAAGCTTGGTTGATTGATTGATTCTTAGAACCCTCGTCGTTCATCATCTTGTCTCTCTGTCTCAGTAGAATTGTTGGTGTGCATGTGTGTGTTAAGGGTACTACTTCAACTTGAGTGTTTTTTTTTTTCTAAATGAAAGATTATTGAAGATCAATTTGAAAATTTGATGATTTTGTTTACACTCTGTCTTTAAACTTTTCCAATTAAATTTCACTACACTTTACTTTTTTTTTCTTCTAAACTCAATTTAACCAATACACCACCACTCAAGACTCAAACTTGATTTTTTTTTCACAGTATTTTTGGTTGATTTGAATTTAACCAGTTTTTCATTTTACACTTAGACCAACGCTTTCACTTACTTTTCTCTTTCTCTTTCTTTCTTTCTTTTTCTCTCTCTATCTCTGTGTGTGTGTGTCTGTGTGTTTTTCTCTGTCTCTTTACTCGGTCTAGTTTGCTGTTATTGTTTTTTTTTTTTTTTTGATTTTTGATTATTCATCTTTAAAGTTCTCTCTCTCTCTCAAATTCAATCAAATCATCTCTTCTTCAAATTCAATCAATCGAGTTTAAATCTCAATCAAGATGAACTCAGAACAACAACAACAACAACAACAACAACAAGACCACCATCAAGAATCAACTCAATCATCTTCAAATCATCATCATCATCATCAACACTCAAACTCATTACCTAAAACTCATCAAAACCCAATCAAATCTGAACTTACCATTCCACCTTACAATCCATCTAAAAAGAATCATCATTCATCTCAATCTCAACAACAACAACAACATCATCATCATCAATCTAACTCAACTCGTCCTAGACCTGTCACCACTGCCATCACACCTGTCTCTTCTAACAATCCTAATCATCAAACTGTAAGTCAAATCTAATCTTTCATTGTCTTTCTTCATCAGCATCTTCACTGACTAAAACTGGATCTCCTCCTACTTCTTTAACCATTGCTTCATTTCACTTTCTATCATCTATCTCTTACTAAAAAACAACCACTTATATCCAATCTATCTACATCCTACAATCATCTATCTTTCATCTTAATCTGTCTCTCTCTTTCATTCTCTGCGTGTGCGTGTGCGTGTGCATGTGCGTTGTGTGTGTACTAAAAACAAATGATGTGTCAAAATTGTGTCATGTTTGGATTTTGAATGTTGTTGGACCATGAATCGATGATTCCCACCCGAACTGAAAACCAAAACTCATCCATCAAAACATAAAAATTCAAATCCAATTGATTTCTTCAATTTCAATTCAATTCAAACTTCAAATCATTCATTCTTTCTTCATTCTTTTCTTCAATCTCAATCTCAAATCTCATTCGATTTCACTTCTTCCCTTTTTCTTTCCGTCTTCCAAATCAAACCTTAGCAATCTCGAAATCATCTACCACCCAACATGCCAGTTCCTGCTACACCTTCGAATCGTAATCGAGCATCTCATCAAATTCAAACTTCAAACACTTTACCAAACACTTCAACAGATGAAAACTCATCTCAATCCAACTCACTCAGTATGGTCGGACCTTCTCATCCAATGCCACGTCAAAGAATCTATTTCGGTCCTTATCTCTTACTTCAAACACTCGTCGGTCTCATCCTTTCTCCATCAATCCTCATCACCTTCATCTAACATCTTTTTTCTTTTTGCTCTTCTCTTGGAATAGGGTGAAGGTGAATTTGGAAAAGTTAAATTAGGTGTTCATTCCTCACCAGACAGATGGGGTGAAGAAGTAGCCATCAAACTTATCAAACGTGGAAATGTAGATACTCAAGCTAGAATGATCAAGGTTGCTAGAGAAATCGATGTTTTGAAATTGGTCAAACATCCTAATATCGTTCGATTATATGATGTGATTGAAACTGAAAAATATATTGGAATCGTATTGGAATATGCTTCTGGTTTGATTCTTTTCTCTATTTTCAATCCGTCTTCTTTCTTACTGATTTTCTTTTTTTTCGGGGCGTTTTGGTTTCTTTAGGTGGTGAACTCTTTGATCATATCTTGGCTCATCGTTATTTAAAAGAAAAAGACGCGTCCAAATTATTTGCTCAACTTATTTCGGGTGTCACTTATCTTCATGCTAAGAAAATCGTTCATAGGGATTTAAAACTTGAGAATTTACTTTTAGATAGGAATCGGAACATTATCATCACGGATTTTGGGTTTGCTAATCGGTTTGAGGATCGATCGAATGATTTGATGGCCACTTCTTGTGGTTCACCTTGTTATGCGGCTCCTGAACTGGTCGTACAAGACGGTCGATACGTTGGTAGTCAAGTGGATGTTTGGTCTTGTGGTGTGATTCTATATGCTATGTTGGCCGGTTATCTTCCTTTCGATGACGATCCTTCCAACCCAGACGGCGATAACATCAATTTACTTTACAAGTATATCATCAACACCCCGCTCAGCTTTCCTGAATGGATCACTGATCAACCCAAAGATTTACTCTTGAGAATGCTCGTACCTGATCCTTTGAAGCGCTGTGCGCTTTCGGAAGTCACTTCTCATCCATGGCTAGCTAAATACGCTCATCTCTTTGATCGCTCAATTGAAGAACTCGAATTGATTTCAGAAGATAATGAACAACAGAAACGGATGGCATTACAGGCTCAGAGACAGGCTATGGCCGCTAACAATGGTCGGGGTGGAAGTGGAGCGACATCAGGTGATTCGATGGGTCGTAGTCAAAGTGCAGCTCATCCTTCTGGTATTTCGGGTCGAGCACGTGCTCATCAGAGTGCCATGGTGGTTCCTACGACGTCTAGTGTGGCAGAGAGCGAGTTTGTTCAATCTCCGAGTGCTTATCAACAGCAACGTCAACAATCTACTACGTCAGGCTCAACTTCGACTGTCACTCACTTGCAACCTACTCCTCAACCTACAGCACCGACATCGAAGACCAGAAGAGCTCAAGCTCAATCAGCCATGGTCATTCCAACTAGTACGACTCGTCAAAACAAAGAGAATGAAGTTCTGGCCGGTATGGAAGATGTTCATAATGCTCATGGGGCTGATCACAAGAAGCCTGTCGAACTGGTTAATGATGGCGAGGAAATCGCTTCAGGAACCAAGGACGCGAGTAAGAAACGTAAAGTTAATGCAGCTGGTGTTACACCTGGCTCAAACCAACAACGATACACTGTTCAAGTCGAATATAGCGCAACACCTAGTCCAGATTCTCGAGCAAAGGGTAAAGCAGTTGAACGAGTTGGAGAAGATGGTATGGTAGAAACGAGAGAGGATGAAGCTCTTCAAACACCCAAGACGACTCACCGTCCATCTCGTCCAACAAACGAAGACACACCTATTGCTCGAGAGGCTCGTGATGTGGTACAAGAGAGTACACCTCCACCTAATCGAACGACTAGGTCATCTAACACTAGTGCTAATCCGGTTATCAATGTTACTCAACCACTTGCTGGAAAAGAAAATGAAGCTCAAAAATCGGCTCATTTACCTTTCCCTTCACCACCCATTGGATCAAAGACCATAACTATGATTGGAGGACAATCAAATCAAGCGTAAGTGTCGGGTTTTCTCGCGCTTTATTCAGTTGATACAAACTGACTGACTCTCTCTTTTTCTTAGGCCTGCTGGAAAGCCAACTCACACCAATGTGGAAGGTATCATTGCGGCAGAATCAGCTGCATCGAAGAAGGACAGTCGACATCGAAAAGGAATGTCGACCGATCGATTCTTATCACGTTTACTTGGTTCGAGCCAACAAGGTAATGGCAACAGTGCGATCCCACCGTTACCTCCACAACCACCTCCCAGTGCATTGAAGAAGCCTACTGGCTATAGTGCTGTAGCTAATGCATCTAAGAATACTAGACGAAAGGCTCTCAGTATGGTAGTTGAACCATTGAGTGGGAAGATTCCAGGAACAAGTTCGGCTAATCGAGCCAATAGGAAATCAGCCAAGGTTGTACCTCCTTCGCCTGGAACGGTTACCAGTCCTACATCATCGAATGCATCCAATGATCCATCAAGGAGACCTCGACGTGGTAGTACTATGGTACCTGGTTCATCTGAAAGTACTCGACATAATCGAAGGATGACATTAGCAGGAAGTTCGAAGAAAGATGGCACACATGGTCAATTAGTGATTTCGAGTCCTGTTTTGATCAATCCTCAACCACAAACTCCGATCAGTCCATCTACTCAAATCCTTGGTGAAGAGACTGTAGTAGTTGATGAGAGAGGTTTATCGGGATCACCTAACTGGAGTCAACATACGGCTGCAGGCAATAGCACTTCTCATCTCAGTTCTAGTTCATCTAAGGCTAAGAGGGTGATGGATTGGTTTAGGTTCAAGAGTTTGAATACTAGTACGACGAGTACTAATACGACGGTGATGAATTCTAATCCAACTAATTATGAAGAAAGTGTGATTCCTCCGACTCCGTTTATGACGGATTTTGATGAACGTAGGAAGAATGGAGAATCGGTGGTAGGTAATTCTGGTAATGTGAATCAAATCAACACTTCTTCCAAGAATACTACTAAACCGGTGGCTAGTAATAGTAGTTTGAGTACTAGAGATGTTCAAACTACTGGAGATGAATCTGCGGTTTTGGTATGTAATTTCTTTGCCATTTCTCTGGAACGGTTTGAGAACTAATGATTGGGTTTTTCCATTTGATATTCATAGGTTCAGAACAATACAACAAGATCTACATCAGTGAATGTGCCACCACAAACTACACCGTTTAATGATTCGAAATTAAAATTACATCATGGAGCGATTGATCAGAATGCGATTTCATCCATCTCACCACCTTTGATTATGTTTCAATTAAAGAAGATCTTATGGGAATTAGGAATCGAAGTGACAGAAGAGAATTCGATGAAATTAAAAGCGATGAGAAGATCCAAGAAAAAGGTAGTCGCTAGTCTTGGATTAGGTGTTTTTGAAGCTTTACAACAACAACAACAACAACAACAGAGTGGTGGGACTACTTCGGGTTCATCTTCTATTGGTGTACCTCCTTTACATGGTCCTAATGGTGGTGGTAGTAGTGGGGGTGGTGGGTTTAAGTCAATCTTTAATAGGAAAGCTTCGGGAATGTCTGTTTCGGGAATTATTGATCAGATTGGAAGTGTGGGTAGTGGGAATGGATCGAATGAACTTCAACCTTTACCGGCTTATTCTGATGATCCATCAGTAGATAGTGGTGATGATGTTAGATTTAGTAAGTAGTAGTCCCTTGTTTGTTTGAGGAATTCTTTTGATTGATGTGTTTTTTTTCGTGTAAAAAAAGCTGTGGAGATTACTAAGTTGCGAGGTTTGAATGGGCTTTATGCTGTGGATATTAAACGATTGAAAGGATCGTTGTGGAGTTTTAAGTATTTGTGAGTTTGAGATTGATGTTTGGAGTGGATTTTGAAGTTGAGGGTTTACTGATTGTTTTTTCTTTTGGGATTTCTTAGGTATTTACAAATCTTGGAAAAAGCTGAGTTAGGTGGTGGTGGTGGTGGGGGTGCGATTGGAGTATGAAGAATGAAATGAGGATGATTTTTGGATGATCATGGACGGTTTCTTTTTTTGGGTTAGATATTATGGATGGATGGAATCAGAATGAGAAGAACATGTGTGGGGGGTGAGGTTTAAACTGTTCACCCTTCAGTAGTAGTAGTAGTAGTAGTAGTAGTTTTTTTTTTTGATTTTTTTTTTCTTCGTTTACATCTGGGAAATTGATTCATCAAGTCTTTGTTTTTTTTTTCTGTCATCGTTTCTTTTTTTCATTTTTTTCATGATCTCTTTTTTTGTTCTTTTGTTATATAGCTATGCACTTCTTTGATTCACTTTTTCTCATTTTTTTTCTTTAACATCTTCTTTACATACATACACGAGAATAAGAAAATCGGTTCTTCTTTTTCTTTTCTACTTTTCTACTTTTTTGATTTTTTCTTTTTCTTTTCTTTGTGTTTTTTTGTTAGTATTAATGAAGATGAAGAAAAAAAATATGTTTTTTTTGTATGTATGTTTTTTTGGTTTTGGTTTAATTCACTCGCTATACAAACTCTTTTTTGTTTTTTGCTCTTTTTAGATTTTTTTCTTTTCTGATTTTTCTTTCTGATTTTTGATTTCCTGATTTTTGATTTCCTGATTTTTGATTTTGGTTTTTGATTTGATGATTTGGTTTGGTTATCTTTGATTTTTGGTTATTTTTATCATTTAATATGAGACTTGATTTTTTTTTTGTTGACTTTTTTTTCTTGATGATGATGATTTTCTTTTTTGTTCAAAGAGAAAGAGTAAGAAGTAAGAGAGAGATAGAGAGAAAGAGTAAGAGCGCGTTCACTTAGCCTGGTTTCCTAGAACGCGATTTCTAGGTGACCACTTTTCTACATGTAGAAAAGTGATTTTTGTGAAAAAAAAATGAAATCTTGTTTCCATGACAGAAAGAGCAAAAGAAGACGGTAAACGGTGTTCGTTTTGATGGTCATTAAGCACATCAAACATGGTTGGTGGTACAAACAACCAACAACCATCATGTCTGATTCCTCCACTTCCACGAGGTCCTCAGCCTCTTCTCGAAACCCATTTGACCTCCTCAAATTTGTCCTTCAAGCTGGAAAGGACTTTCTTGCCTCATTAAAGACCGAGAAGATACCCTGTCGAACTTCAAAACTCCGCGGAAATCAATATACGAAAGAAGTTCTTGAGGGGAGTGATGTACGGTTTCGAGAGATTTGTCGGATGGATAAGCTGGCTTTCAAGGGCTTGATGAAAGCCCTTGAATACAAACTCATCATCTACCGCAAGCGAAGTGTGACGGCCGAAGAACGTGCCATGATTTTCTTATATATATCGTCGGCAACTCTGGAACCAATCGAACCGCTGGAGAACGATTCCAACGCTCCGGAGCTACGATCAGCAAATACTTCCAGGAGGTCTTGAATGCGATTGTTTCTTTACAATCTATTTATATTGTTCAACCCACCTCCAACGAGATATGTCCAAAACAAATTCGAAACAACCCTCGGCTGTTCCCTTACTTCGAGAAATGTGTGGGTGCCATTGATGGCACCCACATCCCATGCATTGTACCTCCGGATCGTCAACCGGCACATCGAAACCGCAAAGGAGACTTAAGCCAAAATGTATTGGCAGGCTGCTCCTTCAACATGCTCTTTACCTTTGTCTACGCGGGGTTGGAAGGCTCTTACGCTGATGCTCGAGTGCTACATTGAGCACTCGAGGAAGAGCGATTCATTGTACCAGAAGGTAGATTTGTTTTCTTACAATTAAATCCATTTGATGAACTTGCTGATTTGTTTCCTTACCTCCAGATCGCTTCTATGTAGCTGATGCTGGGTATGCAAATGTTCCGGGGTTTCTTACACCCTTTCGATTGGTACGATACCATCTAAAGGAGTGGAAGAACTCTGGATTGACGCCACAGACCCCTAAAGAACTCTATAACCATGGGCATTCTGCTCTTCGAATCATCATAAAAAGGATCTTTGGCGTCTCAAAGATGAGATTTCCAATACTTGCCATGATGCCGTCTTATTCTTACAAGACTCAAGTGAAGATAGTGGTTGCTTGTTGTATATTACATAATTTAATCAAAATCGAGTCAGGAGAAGATGACTTTTACAAAGAATACACCATCAAAGAAATATTAGAATCAAGGCTCGCACATGATGATGAGCCAGATTGGACTGAACCTACCCTTCAACAATGTAATAGAGCCAATGAGCAGCGAGAATCACTTGCTCAATGGATGTTTGACGACTATATTAAAGCACCTGTGGCTCGTCGACGTGTTTAAACTGCTTGTTCTCATTCATATGTTTAAAACCTGATATTTTCGTTTACTGTTGTACCATTCAAAAGTGTAATACATTATCATTATCTGCATTACTCATGTACCATTTGCAACTATAATGTATGTTTTGTTTTGTCTAAAAATATAGGTAATGACTAAAAACAGATCAATAGAAACAATATGAAAAACGATTTGAACAAAGGATACATTGATCAATTAATTATTTAACCTATAGATACATCAGTTGATTCTTATTCATAGTCTTCTAAAACCCCCACCTCTTCTTTCAACCAGTTCCAGTGGTGATCCTGATGCATGTGAAAGAAAAAGAAAGCTGTATCATCATCTTTGAGTTTGCTAGCGACTTTGTTAATGTGACAAGGCTTGAGCTCGGTTGCAGATTCTTCATTGAATATCTTCATGGCTTCTTCTTGTTTGGGATGTTGCTCTAGTTTCATCTTTGCTATGATAAGCTTATCGCTTTCATTTGCCTCTGCCAACTTGATAGCTCAATCCATCGAGCTGGCTACAAGTTTGGGACCCGTTGTGCGTGATTGGACCGATGCTGAACCTCCCGGGTTAATTGGGCTTCGCTTACTTCGTACAAACCTCAGCTTGGGGGTTTCTTCATCTTCATCTTTGACAGGCTTCTTAGCAGGCCTTGCTCGAGTACCCTAGATGAAGACAAGTCAGTATGATAAGCAATAAACTGGATACATAATGATACCACTTACCTTCCCCTTCTGCCTTTTTAAAGGAGGTGGAAGTTGATCCTCAGATTCGGAATTTGAATCGGACTGTTTATAGCCTTGAGAATCCTTTTCACTAGACTTGTGAGCTGATGAAGGAGCTGATGAAGGATGAGGTAGATGCGATCATTGATTTGATGTGATAATAATAATTGAAATAAGTAGACGTACCTTCGTTGTTTGTTTCATGACCTGCATCATCGGGTGGAGGGGTAGGTGCTGCTTTTTGTTTCTTGCTCTGTGTCCCAAAACCTTCATCTCCATTGGCTTGTAAGTGTTTTTCAGGCATAATCGAGGCTACTGCTTGATACTGTGGAAACCCGGTGTTCTTGATAGGAATTGCATCAGTGTTTCCGGACTTAAGTTCAAAAGTAAGTAAATAAAATTGAAAGTAAGAAACAACAAAAGCTAATAAAAGAGATGATTTACCTTCTTGATCCATTCATCCCACCAGTCTTTAGTAGCCTTTACTGTTCCAGTGGTGTCATTGGTCCCTGGAGCACCTGACTGGTCTTTGATCTTGTCAAAAGCCTTGCATGTTGTCTTGAGCTGGTTTGAGATTGTACAGAACACAGTCAAATCGAAATCATGTGAAGAAGAAGTAAGAAGACAGAAAGAAGAAAGAAGAAAGAAGCAGAAGGAAAAAAAACCTTTTGAATGTGATTTTTAAATCGAGTTAATTTGTGGTTTGTTTTAAATTTTCTGTTACAGTTGTCACGCACTATCTTCCAGGCGTCCGACTTGATTCCACCGTCATTTCCTTTACCAATTGCAATTTGATTTGAGTATTCTTAAATGAAGTAAAGCGAGTCTTGTAGAGTCCATGCGCCAGAAGAGATTTCATCAGCTTCTTCTTTCTTCTTATCTTGCTTCTTCTTTTCATTAGATCGGTTTTCTGATTTTGATCGTGAACACCAACCAAGGCACGACTTGGTGTGTAGTTCCATGGAACAGAGTTGTGTAGTGAGATATAAGGATATGCTTGTAGAGGGGTGCAACCACGCTGCAGAGGTTTCCAAGGGGAACAGGAAATTGGACAATTTCTCTCAGCGCACCACGACACCCGCACAAGCAGTATCTTGCTATATCTTCGATACACAACTCATCTCGTTCTGATCTCGAAATATATATATTACATTTCAAATACCACCCACCCACCCAGGCAATGTTGGACACTGGGTTTTCCGGGAGCGAGAAAGAGATTTCTCACTCACGCAAAACCGGGTGAGCCGCCGGCGGCGCCCCTCCCGTACAAACTTAAACCAGGCATACTATGGATGCCAAGTTTAAGTAGGGTTGGTGTTAGAGATGTGATACATACATCAAGCACACACGGACTCCAGTAGAATGGATTTTTATTTTATTTTATTTTATCTTTTGATTTACTGTGGGTTTTTTTGATGTTGATGGCTTGATGATTGATTCATCTTCACTGCTGGTGACTGACTTCTCGTCGTTGCTAGACATTTTGATGTTGAAGAGTTTTCGATTGATTAGAAAGGTGATGATGGAGGAGTGAAAGAGAGTGAAAGGCAAAGAGGTAAAGGGTTTTGTACACTGTAGGGAACAAATCGTATGGTGTCATACAGACTTGTATGGTTTTATTCATATTTGTACCGTGGACGTGGACTTGTCCATTTTCATCGAAAAGATAGAAAGCGAGTTCTATGATGAGAATCAGCTAAAAGCTAATTCTCAAAATTGGGACAAAAATCGATTTTTTAAAGCATTCTACGATTTATAGAATGCGTCAAATTAAGAAAACAAACGCATTCTGTAGAATGCAATTTCTATAGTTCACAAAAAGCGATTTCTGCTCAGAAATCGCTTAAGTGAACGCGCTCTAAGAGAGAGATAGAGAAAAAGTACAAGAGAAAGAGGTAGAGGTAGAGAAAGAAAAGTTTGGAAGGAAAGGTTTGGTTTGGTTTGGTTGAGAGAAGTGGTGGTTTGGTGTTATTTAGAACACTTTG